TGGAAGAGGAAAGGGTCTTCCCCAAACTGTTGTCAAAAGGTTGGAAGCATATAATTGTCTAAAATGTCTTTGTATACTGTAGCATTTAAATTACCTTCACTTGAATTAAAGGTCCGAGCCCAAAGCTTTAAAAAACAGCCCCAGACCATTATCCCTCCTCCACCACCTTTACTGTTGGCACTGTGCATCCACACACAGATTCATCCATCAGAGTGCCAGATAGTGAAGCATGATAGTCCGTTACCTTCACACGACTCCAACTGGCGCTTGGCATTGAGCATAGTAAGCTTAGGCAGCTGTACCTACTTCATGAAGCTCCTGATGCATAGTTATTCTGCAACAGAAGATGAGTTTTATGCACTACATGCTTCAGCACTCAGTGGCTCCACTTGGAGTTTGCATTGTAACTGAGCTGTTGTTGTTCCTAGATGCTTCCATTTCACAATAATACCACTTACAGTTGACCAGGGCAGATCTTGCAGGGCAGAGATTTCGTAAACTGACTTGGGGCGAAGGTGGCATCCTATGACAGTGCCATGTTTAAAGTAACTGAGCTCTTCAGTATGACCCATTCTACTGCCAATGGAGATACCACATACATTCGCAGATACTATTTTACGTTCCTTTGTGCCTGCCCCCAGTCCTTTCTATGGATGGTACCAAGCTCCCCAGCACTTGCCCAATTAATCATGGGGCAGAAGTAGCTGGAGTAGGCGGAGCAGGCACCAGCCAGCAGGTTAGGAAGGAAGCAGTGTGAGGACATTGACAAGTCATGTTGTGATTCAACCTTCTGTCAGCTCAACACCCGTAAATCACATCACTAAGGTCACCATCCCATACTGATCTGCTTCCATGATTAGACAATACTTGCATCAGGCCTTTAATGGGGTTTGGCTTGCATAACCCCCTCAAGCACTATCCTTGTGCTACTCTTTGGTTTAATAAAAACTCTTCCATCATGTTTGAACGATTGCTTCTCAGGGGAAAGGGTGTATTCTGACCATCTTTTTGGGAAAAGAGTAATGAAGATGCGTTCTAATACACCAGGACTTGAGTGTATCCTTCTTCTTAATTGCACCCTAGGCTTTGTCTGTTTCAGCTGGCTGTTCCAGTAGGTATTTGTGCCTTCGGCAAGAATAAAGGAATGCTGGGGATTTCAACAATCTCACGCAGTTACATTTAGAAAGTAATTTCTCACTTGAATAATGAATTGTTTGCTTTTTAACAGGTTGATGGCTTGGAAGTTAATGAGCACTGTTAGAAGGGGGTCTGTGCAGTGACCCCTCCTGTAGAGGAGTAATGAGGCTGCATGTTGTACTCCCAGAAAGATGATAGGCTACACCGGGATTGAAGGAGGAGGGTGGGATTTTCACTCACAACTAAATGAAGGAGAAAATGAAAGCTGACATGGTTGCACTGATTTCAATATTTAATGCCACTTTCCATAAGTCATACAGGGCCTCTGGAGGCATGCGAGCTGAGCAGTATGTCATAAAGCCAGTTCAGGACAGTCTTTCGTTAGGAACATTGTGTTTCTTTAAAAGAGATGGTTTTTGTCTTATTTGCACATAATGCCACAAAGACAGATATTGATCTACTGAGTTTAGTGTTTTGAACCAAACCTAGATGCATCATGGTATAACTCAGTGGCTTGATGTGGACAGATAAATTTTGGATATGGGGAAACAACATATTGGCCACTGTGTCCAAACAAAGAATTTCTCTGAGGACATAACTGGAGCATTCAAGGAGTGTCATTAACTAATATTTGTCATTTGTGGTTAAGTCATTTTCTGTGTGTGGGAGACCGGGTTCAAGCCTGGCACACAGGAGCATACCACTCCTCTAACCACTCCGAACGCTACATTTCCAACAACCTAATTACCTCACTCACCTGCTAGAGCCCTGTTTCAATTATCATTTACTTGCTTTCACCCATTTTAACTCTTCACTCAGAAGCAGGTTACTCAAAAAGCACAACGCTTTTCTTGAGAATTTTGTACATTATGTGCATAACATGTGAGTGACTGCTTTGTCTGGCTAAAAACTTAGTGTAGAACCATGTTGTAGTGCCTTTCATTTCATTAGCCATGTAGTCTTCGGCACGTAACTAGCTAGCTAGCAGAGAAAAGAGATGAAGTTATATCAGCAGTCATGTATAACAGATGGAGTAGTTTGCAAACTAAAGCCCAGTAAATCGGTTATGGTTTTGAAATGTTAAGCATTTTAAAGCACTTTTCTGCTGTGGCTCAAAACAGCTTTGTCCTTCATCATTTTCACTCTTGAAAAGGGAACTGCATCAGTTTGCAATGATTTCTGGGCAAGTTCCACTGCTCAAAGCGACATCTGTGTTCACTCAGTTTCTCACCCTTCCGAGAGCTCATCTAACGTCCTTCACTTGAGCTAATAAACTAATGGAATGGCCTTTAAGATGGCTTCAGGGATGCCTTTGAAGAGAAATGACTAGGCCAAGTGGATGAGGGCTTGTTAAAATCAGTATTGAAACGGAAGTATATGTGTAGTGTAGTTTGAACTGACATTGCAGTCTTTAATGTGTATCATGTAAATTTATAAATAATGACAATAGAAATATGACTAATTATACCATCTATACATGACAGTATATATAATTCGTAGCACAGAACTGTGAAAATCTGAGACTAGTATAAGAATGCAGGATCTAGCCATGATTTTCCCATCATTGCCAAATGCCTGTTTCTCAGTGTGATAGTGCAGTGCCTTATCTATTATGGAGACTTGTTACTATCCCCAGATTAACCAGCTGCTAGCCACTTCATGCCTTCTCCTACAAATGACCACATTTAGCAAACGACACCTCAGAGTGAGGCTCACGCCCTGTTCAACAACACGGACAAACAGTGCTGGAGCCACAGCAGCTGTTTTGATGGCCCCTCGCTGTCCACAGAGCCAGCTGATGAACGGCCTTGACACAAAGAAGATGTCAATCAATCCATCACTCTGCAGTGGGCGCAGAGAGCGAAGTCAAGCCACTTAGTTCCCTTACTATGAATATCAGAGAGCAGCTTGCCAATCAGAAAGCAGCAGGCCTCACATGCAGTGGGATTTTCAACCACTGAAATCCAAGCAACTTCTTAAAAAGCAAGAAAAAAAGCTTGACCTCTACTGAGGTCTTGGCTTGCATCTTTTGCCAAATTTCTGGTTGCAGAGAAGATGAAAAATGTACTGTGATCAAACAGCACAAAGTGAACTGCGTCATGTAAGCGTAACAGCTATACACATGAAGATAATTTTATGTAGGGTTGCACCAATGATTTTTTTACAGCAGATTCATTGACCATTTGCAATAATTGACCATTTGCAAAAATCTGTAAGTCCTACCTCCCTTTTTTATTGAGGCTTCATCCATAATGCTTGTACTCGAAGACTAAAAAGCTCAGTAGTGCAAAGAAATGTTTCATATGTCCAAAGAGGAGTACATTTGAAACACTTTCCATTCAAAAATAAATTGGCTTTACAATATATTCAGTGCAGACATAGTGATAAAATAATAATGTTGGCTACTTAAAATTGGGGGACAAAGGATTCTAGAAACCATGGTTGCATTAAATAAAACCAGGGAAATCATTTAGCCACTGAGTGGTAAAGCTGTAGGTTTTCAGGTCTAATAAAGAGGTTTTAGCCACATAAGCTCCCCTTGAGATTTAAGCTAAACATTAAATCTAGTCGGTGTAATTTTAGATGCTGAGGAGTTGACGTTAGCCAGTGATGAGGATTAGTCATCCTGTACAAGGTCTTTTCGTAAACATTAATAAAATACAAAGAATGTATGGTTTTTAGTTTTCAAATCATGAATGAGTACTATACTGTCTGGTTTACCATCTGATTTATCCAATTATGAAGAGCTAACTAGCAGATTTAAACATTGTTTTGCAACATTATGTTACACATCATACTAAAGAGACTTCAGGCAAATACAGTAACCCAGATAAACTTCAGCTTAGTGTGTCATTATATATTCTAATAATACATCTACAACACATTTGCACCATTTCTTGGTCTAATATCTCAGACTGATTTGCGGCCACCTTTATTGTCACTGCAGATTTGTTGTGAGGAGTTAGGTCAGTTTTTCTTTCACTTGATGGAGGAAGTAGTGTTTAGAAATGACTGGGATTGGCTGAGAGTCATGTTGGTCAGATTTTCAAAGGTCAGTTATGCAACGCTTTGAAAAAGGTGTAGCAGCCAGTACTGTGCTAGTGCGCTTGCCTGTCTTACGTTATTTATGTCATAAATTCAAAATAGGCACAAAAAAAATAAATAAAAAAATTCAAATAACATTTGCATGTTCAGAGCAAAAATCTGCTTGTTCCGATCATGCATCCCTACTTTTATGTCTGTCAATAGCTTCATGATGTCCTGCTAAATATAAAACATTTAAACATTAAAAATAAAACATTAACCTTCTAGCAAAACGTAAAAGCTAACTAATTTATATTAATGGATTAATATACTGGCAGTCTCACTGTAAACTTAAATTGTTAACTTTGTGAATTTTGAGATGAGCCACACGCAAAACTAAAAAACATTATCTACTGTTACAAAACTGTGGCAAGGTCAGGAAAGCAAACAACACAAAACAGCTTTGTCTTCAGTGTTGTACAAGTTTGGCCTCAGATGGTTGTGTGCAGCTGTGACCTGTCTTAGTGCTGTGGGCAGAGATCAAGGGGTGCCAGCGAAAATGCATTACTTACTCTTCTCAGATGACAACCACCTCCATCCACTGACAGTGGTAACAAACGACTTTCATACAGCATGGTGACCCTTTGACATTCAGCCAGAACAATCCTCAACCCGTTCACCTCCACTTGTTTAGAGGGACAATTACAGTCTACAACGCTTATGATGACAGGACAGATTTAACAGTCAGGCTTTTAGACTGAGCAGAGTGTCACCACTAAAGAAGCTATAAAACACAGAATTAAATGATGTCCAAATGATGACAACGGTCAGAAGAGGACCAGAGTTCATTTTGGGAGCTTTATTTATCTGAAGGACATTTTGTCCCTTTCCTATTTTCATCATAATATTTTCCCCTCAAAATTTTGATGTATTACAAAGGCAGAAAAATATTGTCCTATGTATAAATGTATATGAAAAAGCACTAGGAACTATGAAACATTTATATACATCACACAGCAGATAAGAAGAAATCACACTATTTACACAGAATTTCACTGTTGAAATTGTTGAAAGTATCCCAATAGAGAAGGTTTTTGGAATGTTACTGAATAGTGCTGCATCATGAAAATGCCCTTGGCTGGAATCATCTTTTAGCAGTTCTTGTTCTAAGTTTTCTCTTGATGATGAGATGATCACTTTCTTTGTCTTCTTGATCTACTCCAATGATCTGTAAAAGAAAATCAGCAAATAAATTTTCTATTCCATTTCTACATAATACATTTCCTACTAATAGCTTAATGAGCTTAATAAGATGCAATAACAATAAATATACCCTGATAGCCTCTTCCTTACTACTGAAAACAGGACAAAGAAAAATGGGGAGTTTATCCATTTTAAAAAATTCTGCACAATTCAGTTAATATGTAAACAGTCATTCAGAGCAGTTTGATGTTTCACTGTAGAGAAAACTGACCTAAATTTCTATACAGTGGTGAAGACAGGAACCAAGAGTTGTGATGTATACAACTCAAATATAAGCATTTTATTTACAATACAAAACCACAAGTGAAACCTACATGTCTTATGAGTTTTGATATGCCATGAAATGGAAAAATAGTAGTAAATCTGAAAAACTTGGGGGAAGAAATATATCTTTCCACCACGAATGCATTTTAAAAGTACATTTTTGGCCAAAACCAAAAATATAAAACAATGAATCAGGCATTGGGGGATATGTTCGTAACAGAAACTTATAGTTTCAGTCACTGTGAACAATTCTGAATCAGTATGTTTCTCTAGAACGGTGCATTTCACATCACACCACAGTTACACACTGAATGACTATGTTTACATCTTAACCATTTAATTATGAAGAACTTTTCATAAATCAGTGTAATTTTTTGGTAACTGTCAATGTTAGTAAATTTTTGACTCTTTCTGCTGTTCCAATGAAACTTTCAAACAGTAGCATAAAAATCAGTTAGGAGATTTTCATATGACAGTGATGTTATGTAGAATGATTTGCATCACAAAGCACTACTGACCGGATGAGAAGGTATATCAAGAGGGGAGGAAATGTGGGTCTTGAAGAGCTTGCGCTTGGATCTCTTGGGTTTGTTTGTCTCCATGGCGATCTGTGACTCTGGGGACTTCACAGCAACCACTGCCATGATTTTTTTAGCTGCACAGAAAGCAGAAGCATGGGTCATACAGATATATGGGCATCTGAGAGTCACGTTCAATAGCATTGACAGAGCTTAAAATAAAGAGCCAGTACTGACCTTTGCTACCTAGCAGGGTTGGAGAGCTCTGGATAAAGTCACCAATCTTCTGCAAAGTTCCATCTTTTCTTCTTTTCAGGCTAACGGGAGAATCCTGGTGCTTTAATTGACTGCCCTTTTTACCAAGCACTGAGGGAGACTTGGGGGACAAAGAATATTGACACAGAAATGACCAATGAATGCCCTTTCGAAGTTAAAAACCAAGAATTATTGAACACAGCATAAAATGATGCTGATCACATCAGTTTTGGTGGGTTAGTGGGACAAAGCTGAGATACATTCACATGAACTGCATATTAATCAAAAAAACAATTTTGGTCCCTGAAATGAATGTGAAAGTCTGCAAACAATGCACTACCCTGTTACATCTACAGCATCACAACGAAGAATTTCTGTGCATTATAGAGCAGTTCCAGCACTATACTGACCAATCCCAGTGTTCTCTCAGACTGACAAATCTTAAATCTTAATGGGATCTATGTCTCAATTGTGCACAGTATGTGCTGAGCACAATAGGCAATTGCACAGTACTGCTCAAAGTGATCAGTAATACAGTATGGGCCAGTTTCCTGGACACAGATTAAGCCTAGTCTTGAACTAAGTTGCAGTTCCAAAGGTGAATCACTATTGGAAATTCTTTGTAGTCTAGGCTTAGGTGTTATCTGGCTCTGAGAAACCAGACTTATATGTCCGGAAGTTTGTTGACACCGGCTCATCCAACGTTACATCTGGAATCAAGGGTATTAATAGGAATTTTGCATGCCTTTTACTTTAGTAACTACTAGTACTAGTAACTTCTAGTAACTACTCTTCTGGGAAGGCTTTACACTAGATGTTATAATTACACTGCTGTTAGGATTTGATTGAATTCAGCCACAAGAGCATTAGTGAGATCATATAAGATGATATGAGATCGTATAAAATAATGCCACTCCAACTCAAAGAAACTGGATGGAGCTCCGTCACTCCAGAGAACAAAGTTCCACTGCTTCACAGCACAATGCTGGGGGGCTTTACACAAACCATGGGTGTGCACAACTGAACACGTGCATCGGAAGTGGGTGCCCATAAAGTAGCTGAATTCAGTAATTACTAATTATGCAGCTAAAGGTGGGCAATTTGACAATAATTCCGACTATTGTGATATAATTTATTACATTACTTCACAATATGTTTTTCTGAGCATATCGTGATCAGCTGTACTTGAGCACTGAAAAAAGGCACGGTTCATTATAAAGAGAGCTTAATCAGTCCTGTTTACTAGGATTTAGTGCAGTATGTAAAACATTGAATAAAAATCATTGAGCCTCATTCACCAACTACTCTTAAGAAGAAATTTCTTCTTAACACCCACAACACAGTTTTCATGAAGATTCTGACATTGGTCAATGTTTTCTTATTTGGGATTTGTTCTTAGGTAAGAACAGAATTTACACACACTCAAGAGCACAAACTTGCCAACAGTTCTGTAGTTTAAGAACACATCATGAATCTGATGAAGACTTTTGCTTATGATTATCTTAAGGACAAATTTAAGAAAAAAAAACTCAAAGATATTGGTGAATGAGGCCCATTGTATTCGTAGTTTGATGGTATTTTTTTTTGTGATTTTAACGTAACATTACTGGTTCTTTTTTGTCCGTTTCAACTTAGCAAACCTCAGGACATTTGTGAAAACGTCTTGAAGTATCGTGATGTTCTATATTACTTCCATATTACCCATCCCTATATGCAGCCCAAAGTGCAAGCACAGTTTAATACAGATAAGTACCTCCACAGACCGCACGTTGGCCCTGGAGTTTCCTCTGAGCCGCAGGTTCTTTCTGTTCTCTGACTCCACTGACTTCTAGATCACACACAAACAGTATAGATGTAAATTTTATTAAATTAATGAATCATTTAGGAATAATTCAATGCATTACAGCTTCTCAATTTGGTTTTACTATTTTGCTACAATTCAAAGTTATTTAAAAAAAAATACACTGAATACACGACTGTGACTAGGGGAACTATTTAAACTGGTGGAAAACAACAGAAGCTTTTTAAAAAAAATGTTCATATTACTATAATCAGTGACAACTCTAAAATTCCAAATTTCAGCTGAATCAGCACTCTCACAATGATGCATTTTTACATCCTGTAGTGTGCAGCATTTAATACAGACCTCCATCTCAGCGCTCTTCCTTTTCCTAGCTGTGCGTCTGATTTTGACCGTGACTGACTCCTCATCTCCTGGCCTGCGGACATTGACGCGGTCAGGCTTGAGCGGGGTAAAGCTGATCTCCAGCTGTGGTTTGGGGAAGCGTTTGTCCTCTCTCTCACTCTCCGTGGAGAGCACTGAAGAGTTCTGCGCTGCAGCCTGCTCAGAGCCATCAGAAAGAAGATTGATGAGGACAAGCACTTGCAGGCTTGCATGTGTTAAAGACTATTAAAATAAGTGTACTTATACTAGGTTCAGACCCACTAAATATTCATCAGGAAATGAAATGCACATAATACCAGTAAAAAAACAAAAAACAAAAACACAAACAAAAAAAAAAACCCACATAAGAACAGAATTATTCAAACTGCATAATGATACTGGAATCTAACTGGTTAAAAAAACAAAAACAAAAGAAGTCAACTGGATTAGCCCTGGGTGATGTAATCTGATATCAAGTAACCCGATGGCGATGTGTAAAAGATAATAATCACTGTTTTGGTAAAAGAACTGTGAGAAAACTAGAGGGGACTCATTTACCATTTACCAGCTTGAAAAATACGTTGGAAAACTGGGGTTAACGTTTAGGACACGTGCGGCGTACACATCATTAGTCAGTTTCACACAAACACAAACACACAATTGAAAAAATAAATAAATAAATAAATAAAGAGACAAAATCACATTGTTTTAGATAGAAAATATTGTGCTAATTATTTTTATTTTTGTTGCCTAGGCCTAAATTGGACAGATGATTAGATTTGACTCATAATTCAAACCAATGCGGTATTCCAGAAGAGTAGAATGTTTAGGCAATTCTAGGCTACTATGTTAGTATGTCTAATGTTTTCATTACACTGCTGATCCATTTTATGATAGTCCAGGTGGCTTTAGTCTTGATTATTATGTATTATAAATGCACATATCCGTTTTAACGAATACAGTGGGGTGCAAATGTCTGGCAACAAGTGAAAATGCATCTATTTTCATTTCTCATCTAATACAAAATTTCCTATTGCAGATTGTATTAGCTTAATCTGAGTGAGATGTAGAATCTGAAATATTACAATAAATTTTAGAACTTCTTAATATTAGTCATTTTGCTTTAACAAAAAATGCTGACCTTCTTGTACACGGTCAGTGTCAAATTCTCTTTTTACCTGTACCATTTATTTGTTTTAAATGTTTCAAAATTCTAAAACTTTGTTTAGTTCCAGGCTTAAATGAAAATTAAAAAATAACACCAGATTTTCAATGTGGTCTCACATATTTGGACTCCACGATATGTTCATGAAAAATATTAGCTTTGGTCTAGCATTCCTATATAAGTGCATCCCTACTAAATACACCAATGACAAAACAATTCAAATGCGGACAATATTTAATCTTTGAAATCATCAGCGCTAGTACTTTTGCTAATTAAGTTCTGGTCCTGTGTGTTGCATTGACTAACTGTTCTCTGCTGACCTCCTGTGCTAGAGAAGCAGAACTTCTTTGGATATCTTTTGGCCTCTTGTCTCTGACAAGTCTGTAGTTTCTGCCAGTTGAAAAGGCAGTAACTAAATGATTCTTCTCCCTTTGCAAGTGAAAATCAATAGTCTGTCTTATTTAGCATTAACTGATTTCCACACTAGTATTATAAACAATCTATTCCTAATAGTTGTAGTTATGAATCTGTTATACACCGATGAGTCAAAATATTATGACCACCTACCTAATAAACTGTTGGTTCTCTGTGGAGCTTCAGTGAGGAGCACAGCCGAAAATGGCGCCCACCACGGCAGACCCACAGGACCATTTTTCCAATTTGCGAGTCCGAGTTCTAATGGATTTGTGGTCTGAACAAGAAGTGGTCTGAGATCTCAATGGACCAGAAAGAAATCTGAGTCCTCTTTACAGGTCAGTTACATTGTGAACACAAAAAGAACCAAGGTCACTTGCAGTTGGTTCCCTTCCAGGTTCACTTTAACAGAACTCGGTATGGTTCTTTTAAAACGAACTATATGTGAAAACACTGTATAAGACCTCTGAAGATGCCCTGAGGTGTCTGGCACCAAAACGTTAGCAGCAGATCCTTTAAGTCCTGTAAGTTGCAAGGTGAATACGCTAGGATCACACTTGTCCAGCACGTGCCACAGATGCTGGACTGGATTGATATGTGGGGACTTTAGAGGCCTTTCCTGAACAATATGTGCAGTGTGGCAGGGCACATCATCCTTCTTAAAGATGCCACTGCCACTGGGGAACATCACTGCCATGAAGAGAGGTGTACTCAGTCCGCAATGACGTTCAAGAAGTTGTACATGCCCTCCACCTGCTTAGTCTTCTTTACACAGTGCATCCTGGTGCCATCAGTTGCCCAGGTAAATGGTGCAAACATACCTGGCATCCACATGATGTAAAATAAAACAGGACTAGGCTAGACCAGGCAATCTTCCTCTGTTTCTTCGAGGTCCATTTCAAACACTTTCCATTTAAGAGATACTCTAATCCAGTCACCAGGCCATAATGATTTGGCCCATTGCGAAGTTGCTCAGGTCATTATGCCTGTCCATTTCTTCCGCATCCAACATGGAGACAACAAGAACAGCAGCATAATTCATTTCATCTGTGAGTGGTCATAATGCGTGGGCTCATCAGTGTATACTCGTATTTATGACTGCAACTGACTATTTTTTATAATTAATTAATCCGTAGACCATTATTTAATTAACTGACTGAATGATATTGAGGTCTGCAGTCATAGTACCACTATCTGTGTGACAAGCAATTTCTTCTGTTAAGGTGGGACCAAACTACAGAACCCCTTAATGCTTCCTGTAGTGTATGTTCATCTGTCAGAATGACCATGGCCATTACATGAATATTAGGGTGACTATTTCTATGTAAACAAAGCAGTGACTTATTTTCCCAGTGACTGATGTCTTCAAAGACTAATTGTCAGGTTTACTTCTGGTCTAAGAAATGCAGTTTATAGCTTAATCTAGAAAAAGCATTAAACTATGCTGTCAGACAGCTTTAGACATTTTTCTTGTTGCTTAAGTGTGTTTTTTTAAGCCCTATTTGGACAGGATTAAACTGACATGAAGTCCTGGTGTAATTAAACTTAGTGATTTTGTCAGCATTTTTCTCCCTCCTGCCCCACAAAAATTTGGATTCTTTTATAGTCTTTCAACTATTTACTTGATCAGGCTAGCACAACTTCGCTTCCATCCTCTCTACACTGGGAGAGCAGTAGCAGGAGGAGCAACAACGTCTGAGAAGCAAGATCTCGCAGACTGATTAAAGGTGCGATTATAATGGCAGCTACATGTATAAAGCCCTTAATATTCAAATACAGCTATATCATCAACTTTTCACGCAAATGAGCATGATCACTATGACCACCTGTGATGCATTCAGGTTCTTAGAAATTACTGCCCAAACTCCCACCTGCTGTAGTAATTTTCTTGTTGTCCGGATGCAGAGTTTTATCACTGAGGAGTGGCATAATTTTTTTTTGATAATTTAATCAGAATAAGGCTTTTGAGCTTACTTTTTTGCCACAGCTTAGCTATCCCTCTTCGTGGTAGACAAGTTCATAAGCATTTGACCTATAAAGCTCAGAAACCTGCTGAATGAATAAATCACTACTGTGGGTCACATCCTGCTTTGAGAAATAGAGCATGAGAGAGAAAATTTACCACTTCAGGTTGCTCTTTGCCATGGATTTCTCTCTGTGATTGCCCTGTCACCTGGTCTGCTTTCTCTTTTGGCCTCTGGGCTCCATCGGGGGACATAAGCTCTCTTTCTAAGCTCCTCTCCAGCTTCTCATCTGTCTGGAACATCAAAAGGAATCGGTTTCTCTCAATATTAGAAGACAGAAAACAGCAGAGAAGCCATGTAGGATTTGGAAATGCAGTGAGATCAAAGACTCTTGGGTTGCGCTTACTGTCGAGCGTCCTGCAGTTTGTTCTCCTTTCTGTTCCTCCTGGTGCAAGTTACCAGAGTCAGAGTCAGCAGCACCTTCTCTCTGGCACTTTTCCTTTAGCTTCATGAGTTCTGAAAGGAATCATTATGTGTTGTAGTCATCATTAATAAAGCAACATGGAAAAATGGAAAATGTGCACATTAAATTGTCCATTGTAAAGCAAGGCCCTCCTCTCACCTTCACTTAAAGATTCAATCTCATTCAGTCTAGCCTCCAGAACTTGCTCCTGTTCTGTTTGTATCCTCTCTTTGTCAGTCAGAGTGAGGCGCATTTCTTCAATCAGCTTCTCCTTGGCCAGAAGTGCTGCAAACAAATCAAATGTCAGCTCTCCTTATTTTACATGCAAAAGAACATAATCTAATGCCATCAGATTAAGAGGCTTAAATCAAGAGACTGCGATAACCACTGAATCGTTTTTTAAGTAAGCAATCTATGAGAAATGTTAGCCTGTAAACAACTTGTTTTAAAGGATTACCCTGACAAGTATCCTGGTGTTGCTGGAGGTCTTCTTTTGAGCTGACTGTGTTGGCGTGTTTCTATCAACAGGGAAAAAGGAATAAGTAAACAACCTAAAACCAGATAAAGATCTCCAAGTTAATGACACTAAAGAAAAGTGCTCACAGTCTTGAGCTGTTCAATAGCCTCCTCCTTATAAGCCAAGCTGTTCAGAGCTTGATCCCTCTCCTTCTGTAGGTCACAGAGCTGCTGCTGCAGCTTTGTGATCTCTTCAATTAAGGATGTTATCTGAGAGAGAACACACTGGTTTTACATGTCAGTTCCAATATTGGAACCTCAGCCATTCTAATAATTCAGTTACACACAAAGCACCGTTACTAACCTCTTTCTGTAGTCGTTCAGTTTCTTCTCTGCTCTCAGACAGTTTTTCATGAAGATCAGAGATATGCTTCTCTTTTTGCTGCAGATCAAGACTTAAGCCCCTAATTTTATCCAGCCCATCATTCACCTGTTTTTCAGACCTGTCGGAGCAAAAAATCAATAATGCAGGACTGATACCGCACACCCTCAAGTGTTATTCAGCATAACATACATAAAGGCTTAATTAACAGAGCACAGTGCATTACATATTTTAAAAAAGACCACCAGTCTATTTAACACTATTCAAGCTGAATTAGTTTTATCAGGAGAGGTTCAGTAATGTAATGTGTAAAGGATCTGACTGGCCAATGTGAGTGCGCAATGTGTGTGCAATCTCCTTAGATCAGCCATGTCAAACTGGAGACCTTCTGGGCCAAAGTGCTGCAGAGGTATACCATCATCTAACACTCTAATTTAGTTCATAAAGGCCTTGCTAATTCAACTTTGCCATTATACCAATACAAGGTTTTAAAGTATAATGAAACACTGTGTGGCTACTTCTCTGTGCAGTGATTAACAAAATAGATTAAAGACCATGTGCAATAGATAAAAGCACAAAGACAATAGGTGCTAATAAACTATAATAAACATGTAGACTGAATGAGCTGAATCAGGCGTGTTTAATGAGGCAGTGTTCTGAAGTCTGCAGTGTTCTAGGGCACATGTGTCAGGCTCCAGCGAGCACTGGAGCCTGACACACATGCCTTAGATTATCACTGAATGCCCAGATTGAAATGCCGGAATCTACACGTCAGTGTTACACGTCAGTGTTACGTGTCAAAACCATAAAATATTAAGCTATACTGAACAACAAAATGTGTACATGGCTGTTTCCATTATCAGGTATTAGTATTACATTATCATTAAGGGTGTACAATGCATCAGTGGCCAATATTATTCACAGATCAATGAGAAAATGTATTAGAGGTCCAATACTGAAATTGCAAACAACAATTATAAACAATAATTTAGCGCCATATTTTTGCTCGTGTGAACAATAACGCACGTCACTAATTGTGGAGCATGTAGCAATGTAAAAGTTGTAGCACAAATTACTTTTTTTTTAGCACAAATTAAAACTACATAAAATGCTTCTAAAAAGGAAGTGAAACAAATTATTTTGGTTCTGTGGAAAAATAGAAGTAGTACGTAAAAGGTTTGTATTTCAAATGTCCACATTGTGTATTGATAATTAATTTTCTCCATAATAATTCTGATTTCCCACAAGGTGGCGCTGTTAGCACTCAAGTGTTTTTCCTGCATCTTTGAGCACAAGGAAACCCACATCAGCATTGACGCATGTATCAGAGCCTATTTCCCCCGTTATATCTAAAACAGGACTGCAAAACAGCACAGGGCACCTGTGAGCGATTACTTAATGAATAGGAATAAATGGAGCTCAACAGCTAAAACGAAAAGTTAAAATAGTTTCTCATCACTTGCCCAGAACGTTTCCTTTAATTTTAGAAAGTAAAAAGACGTATTGCACTTAAAAAAAAAAAAGCAAAAAAACTGACCTATACATTTCCTTTTTTCTACAGCAAACGGGTTTTGGGCAGCAGAACACTGGTATTACTACTACTGAGTGCTGATTGGTTGGCAAGCAGAGCAGCTCATTAGCTGTTCACGCTCACAGACGTCATGGATGTACATGAGGCTCCATTTTACACTCCTGTAACTCTAGTTTCAAAGCTCTTAAAAATATAACAGCAGTGTTAAAATGTTTTACGCTATTCAGTGTTCAGGAATGAAATGTATTCTTTTACATTAAACATTTTTAAGCATTTATAAACTATGATTTTATATCAACCCATTCATTTTGGACTCGCTCAGGAGCGTCATCTAGTGTTTGAGAAACCCGGAAGACATTATAGAGTAGTAATTCACCTCTCTACAAGTTCTCTGGCACATACGGCTGAAGTCATACATCCCAAAACAGGAAATTAAATAGTTTATTGATTAAAAGTTAAAGCTAACTGCTAAATGTGATTTTAAATTTAATCAGCTTGTTATTTTAAAAACAGGCTAAAGATAGATAAAGCAGCAGGAAATGGGGTGGTACAAAAGATTTTTCATTATTGCTATGTTTATATGGAATGGAATATGGAAATTCTAAACAGATAAATCAATAATTACACTGAAATTGATACAAACAAGGATTACTGTGGGAGCTCCAGTTTCAACAAAATAAAAAAAAGTAATTGCAAATCTAGTCAGCAACAGCTTAAATAACAATTCCCCTCCTTAAAACAAACCCATTTTAAACAGGACTTTACCTTACCATTAACAAAAAAGTTTGGCGGGGACTTACTTCAAGAGCTCCTGAGCCTTAGCCTCCAGTTCTACATCCTTATGAAGAAGCTCTTCCTCCATCACTCGTCTCCTCTCTGCATCATCCTTTGCTTTAGAGCTTTCTGCAGTCCTTTTCTCCTCCTCTTCTGCTGTTCTACACCGCTCTTTCTTCAAAACCTCCTCCGCTTGGCCCAGTTCATTCTGAGTGTGCAGCAATTTCTCCTGCAAGGATGCGCAGTGGGCCTCTCTCTCAGCAAGCTCCTTCTCCAGCTCCAAAACACTCTCAGAGCTACGCATGAAGGCCTGCTCATGCTGTCCCAGCTGTGCTAACTGCTGCTTAAGAACATCCAGCTCGGTTTGAAGCTCAGAGAGACTTCCCTTCATCTGCTCCACCACAAGCTTCTCAGCTTCATAACGGCCAAGAACGTTCTGGGTCTCTTCTCTTTGGGCATCTCGCTCCTGTTTAAGCTGATTGCACTGGTTCTGCATGTGGCACATTTCCTCTCTGGTCTGACTGAGCTCTTGCTCCATGGCCTTTATTTTCCTGCTCTTCTCTTGGGTGCTGGACATCATCACCTCACACTCTTTGCGGAGGGCCTCAATGGTTTCCTGGAACTCGCAGCCTTTCTTTTGTCCCCGAGTGCTAAGTTTTTGGCGCAAGTCCTCAGCCTCCAGCTTCAGGGATTCAATCATACTGGATTGCTCACAACACTCTTCTTCACGTTCTCTGATAAGAGCTTTGGCTGTTTGGAGCTGCTCAGAAAGCTTGGCTGCCACACTCGCCTGGGTGCTTAATTCCGTTTCCATGGCTCTGAGCTTGGAGCTCATGTCACTGGCTGCCTGCTGAAGCACATTGAGCTCGCTGGCAAGAGCCTTATTCTCATTTGTGAGTTTCATGGTCGCTGCTTTCTCTGTTTCAAGTGAGGACACAGCAGCTTCATAGGCACGAGCCTGCTTTGTCAGATCCTCCATAAGATCCTTCACCTTCTGCTTAAGTGAAAGATGCTCGTGTTTGAGCTCATCCAAGCACTTGTCCTTTTCTTTTAAAGCTTGCGCAAGCTGCTGAATTTCTTGGTCTTTCATCTCCCATTTGCCATCATTGAGCATACATTTGCAGCTGTTTCTGTAGTGTAATATTTCCTCTTTAATGGTGTCAATAAATGCTCTCTGAAAGAAGGAAAGAAAAAAAAACAGCAATATAATTACTGCAGATTCACTTAGGGTGAGTTTATAGTTGTAGTTCGGTTCCTTATGCCTGGAACAGCAAAAAATAATACATTATTGCATTTTAGTTCTGGTTCACTTAGCTTTCATACAGACACATTTAACATTAAATTGAAAGATGTAAACAAAAGTCATACGAGTAAAAGGTCACAACCGATTGGGCAGATTTTATGACATACAATAAGTGAAAATGCCTGCCGAGTTTTCTGAATCTGTTCTCTATTCTATCAGGGCTTGTTGATTTTATTTATGTCTTGTATTATCTGTGGTAGTAGAGCAGTAAGCAACAGGACCAGAAACTACCCCAGAAACTTGTCTTTTCCATGTACCAACAAACTTCGGCAGAGAGGAAACAACGGTTTCTTCTACCTTTGGTCCATTAAGACATATTTGATCTGTACTGAGTTCATACTTCAAACAATACCACACCAGAATTCATTCTGAAGCAAACCGAGACTGACCTGCTCAGGGAGTCTCCGCTTATTCAGTGCGCACCAGAGTTTGGATGGCAGCATTCTCACTTGTTTAACTAATCGCAACAGAGCAATCGCACCAGGTTTCTTTTTTTTCCCCACCACACCTGCCAAGTCTAAACGCACCCTGAAATCACTTTCTGCAGTGCCCTAAAACCTGTTTTACGTGATAACACCACATTACCTGCCATGCTTGCCTAAACTGCACAAAATAAACAGGATTTCTGGTCAGAAACTTGAAAGTTTCTTTTGTTCTTGGTATTGTTTTTTTTGATATAGGTAGGTGGTTTTGCTATAAGTATAATAAAGATTAACCACGTGGAGTTGCTGTTACTGTAGCTGTGTGTTGTGTGGTTTTTGATGTAATCACAACACAAAAATCTTTTAAGCCCCATTCATGTTTCGTAAAGTAAGGTGTTTTGTGTTTGGAAGGCTGTTGCATAGCTTTATCAGTTAAATGATCTACCTCACGCTGCTATAGAATGTTCTGAAGCCAGACAATACATCAGGGCTGATTAAGGACATTGACTAACATTACACCTTAAAAGACTCATTGATGAAAGCAGATCACAAGACAAACATATTTGTTTTTTGTGCATCTTAAAGCTGCTTTCTGCACTTTTAATCACAGAGGCAGCAGCACAACAGTTGTCAGTATTTGGGCACAAATAGAGTTGTACGTGGCTGTACGGTTATCAGTGAACAACAAAATGCTCACTAACACGCATCACAGATCACACATCATCTGTGTGGTATTTAACAGCACTACAAGACCAAGCTCTAAACACATAACTTAAATCGCAACAGGTAAGCGCTAATCACTGCAAGCTACAAACAAATTATTTAAAACAACCACAAACTAAACCACGTAGGTGGAAGCAAAACTAAATCAAATACACAACTAATATGAAGTATACAGCCCTTAACAACAGTTAATAAAGGATACTTACTTCAGTCACACATGCACACAACAGCAGAAAATAAACTAATAAATAAGCTTCACTCTGTACACCGTTTCTCCTGAAAGTGCCATGCGCAAAAGGGACCGCAATGAAACTGGACTGGACCTTTTTTCCCCTCCAGTGCAACTTTTTAAACAAGTAATAATAAATAAAGAGCTAAACTTCAACTATCATAATACATGTTTATCATAATGTCACACTGTCAGACTTGCAATATCAGTCGAGCGTTAATGCATCATGTAAAAGTAAATTTATAAATATCAATACACGTATCAGCATGAGCTTATTCATAACATATTGCTGTACTGATATTTTGAACACAGCCTTTAGATTATGCTGGACAGCGAAAAGACCTATGGATAAATCAACGAGCAGCAAACTAACAAAAGCTACAGTTCCCCTCGAGAACTTCTACTGTAACAAAAATCCACATGCTTTATCCACTATTTTTATAAGAGAAATTTGTTAATCTGCCTTTACAGGGAACAAACTTAAATATGGCATTTTCCTTCAGATTTTAGTGCACAATTTCACATACTGAGTAAATAAATACATAATCCCAATCTGTTAAATTCAGCAAATAAACAGCAATTGTGTATTAAAATGTGCAGAGGTGCGGATAGAAGTACAGGATGTGTGCTTATTCTCACTTAAAAAGAGAGAGAAAAAAAAAAGTAATTTGACCGGAGATGCCCTAATTATGTGTGTGAACAACACATTCACACAATAATAATAAAAAAAAAAAATTACTGCAAATGCTTGGATTGCCAAAAGTAATGACTACATTTTGATATTTTTTTGTCCTTTCAATTTAATTAATTAAAAGAATGTGATTAATCATAATTCATTATTTTAATTGCTTGACATCCCTAATTACAACAGTTATGATATCAGTTATCAGCAGCGTTGTAATGTGCTGCAAAATAAAGTGCATTTCATTTGTTAAAGCTTACATCTTCAGTAGCTGCCTCAATATTTTGATCCAAAGTAGTCTGTAGCTTGGAGATCATTTCGTCTTTCTCTTGGCAGATTGCCATGAGCTCCTGACACCTTGTTTTCTGATTTTCATAATTCTAGAAGAAAAGACACAAAAATAAAATCAATAAATCAATCAATTAATCAATATTTGGAAATGCAATTATATTGGAAAACAATGACTGCTGTGAATAAAAACCAACTGTGTTAGCTTCCAGTAGCTGGTCACTAGATTTTTGTAGCTGTACATGCACAGCTTCCATTTCTGGAATGAAATTGACAATGCAGTTAGAATTACAATACACTGTCATGCTGGGTTTGATATGGTAAGATCAAAATGTGCAAACACACCCTTGGTTTTGATATTAAGGAGCTGCTGGCTTTTGAGGAGCTCTTCTGCCATTTCGTCCAGCTGTGTCCTCAGCCTGTTGACCGCTCCAGGGGAGTGGGCCCCCCTCTCTAGACATGTCTGTGCCGCCTCTGCATCTTTCTTTATCTTAGCCAGGTCATTTTGCATCGCTTCAATCATCCCATCCAAAAACTCTGTCTTTGCCTCCTGATTGACAGAAAAAATAGCACATTTCATAACACTATATAAATAAGAAAGGCCTGTGAAATGGATCACTCATATTTACTCGCTAAAAGATCGAACGATGATGCAAATGGCATTCAAAAAACATTCCTGTAAACAGGCTCAAAATAAAAGGCATGCATTCACCTTAGTTGCCTCTCCAGCAGAGCTTGTGTCTGGCAATTCACTGGCATTTTTGTTGACTAAAGTCTTGAGTATTTCCAGTCTCCTCTCAGCTCTTTCTTCAGCAATTTCTTTCTCTCTCTGAAGACGTTCACTGTGGAAACAAAGCACATATAGTCTGTGTGGCAGGTTTAGAGTTAATAAACTTCCTTGAAGAAAAAATGTGCTTTGCTTTACTTGTAATCCTTTTCCATGTTAGAAAACAGCTCCATGAACTCTGTGGTAACTTCTTCCCTGATTTGAGACTCCATGGCTAGTTTTTCAGATTCTGCCTTGGAGAGCTTTTCTTGAAGCTCGTTGACCTTCAGTTGCAGCTGAAATAAACAGTCACAAAACGTGTTAGACGCACACTGGAACTAAATTCTGCTGTGACGTGGATCTACAGGAGGAGTATTGATGACCATTAGAAAATGGCAAAAGAATAAATATTTCCATGAGCGTATCATAATACTTTTTGCTGTTATCTATTTACCTATTCATTTAAAGATTTTATTTATGCAGTTAATAAACTGTCAAATTTAATGTCACATGAGATGCAGTGGCAAACTGTGACTGCAGCTATGCTAGCACACCTTTGAGATTCTAGGTGTATGTTAGCACTAAGCTAACGATGATTTGCATGAATATTTTTTGGAACTTTATGTATACACACACTTTATCTTTGCGGTTTGACAGTGACTCTTTCAGAAATGAGCCCTGACAAAGTCACCACTGTTTTCCAATTCTAACAACTGACTGAACAACCTAGGCTACCATTTGCAGCCTAGAGTGATGTTTTTTTGCCTCACATAGTTGGTCTCACCCACTGGAAATACAAACATGATTGGTTGATTGCACTGTCAGTTCTTAATCATGTTGTCAGTTAAAACAATGTGTAAGGGCTTCACTCCAGTTAGTGAAGTCTTAATCAATATGAAAGCAAGCTTGTCTGTATTTAAGATTTTAACTAATTTCCAACCAACCCTTGATGAAACAAGTTTGAACACATTCTGATTATATGAAATACAAATAAACTAAAAATTATAGACTATATTTATAGATAAATTATAGATGTCCCTCTTGGCAAATGGCAACAGGCCAGTTAACAACCTCCAAACAGAAGCTTTTCAATGGAAAATTTCTGAAATGAAAGCCTAGTTTTTTGCATACTGACAATTTTGTTTCTGTTGGAACAGGAGGGCTGTCCCCAAGTCCTCAATAAATAAATAAAATAAATAAATAAATAAATAAATAAATATCAGGAATGTGGTCTTATGGGGGAAAAGTCTGAATAAAGAATTTGAGGTAGCAGATAGCAAGCAAACATCTTGAGTCTTATACTGACTGAACTTCATATATGGATTTTAGTGTTATAAAATACAATAAAATAAAATCATTAGTTAGATCGATTACTATTGACTGTAAGATGTTGAAATGTGCTGAAACGTCCATAACAGAACAACCATAATTAAATACAATGTATTAATAAAGGATGCATTCAGACATCAGAGACACCATACCTCACACAACTCTTGATCATCTCCAGCTTCTAAAACAGTGTTTTCCACCATGCTCTCATCATCACTCTCTTCCTCTTCCTCTTGCTCCACCTCCTCCTCTTCTGCCTCCATATCTTCATCATCCTCATCCTCCTGTACATCCTCTAAACTTGTCTCCCACCCAATCAGAGTGCTTCTCCTTGTCCACTCTTTTTTGTCCACATTGTTGATCACCATGGAGACATCTCTGGCTGATTTTTTGGGCATAGCACTAAACACCGGCTTTGGGTTCAAGACCACAACCTATGACACACAATCAAGGTCACAGTCAGATCATAGCTGATAATCGAAGTGCAGCTAGAAACATTCTATGATTTTAGTACGACAAAGTGGCTCCATGCTCTGAAACTATAACGATTTTAGTCTGTAACCTAATTGCTCCACTACCAGATCCAAAATCCCTCACACATATCGTTTAGTAATTGTAGTATCGTTTCTTAAAGAGAAATACCACTAATTAAAGTCTAAATTTAAAAAAATATATAATAATAATAATAATAATAATAATAATAATCAGCTGGTGGTTATTACTAATTCTTAACAGTTTCTTTTTAATTCAGATTACATCTTGTACAAATGGTGCTACCAGTGCTTCTAGCAAATAACAATAAGCAGTCCCATGCACAGACATTTTGAGGGGCAGGGGTTCACAGAAAAAAAAGAGCAACCTGAAGGTGGGAAAAGCAGTTTTTGTCTTGGAAGAGTGATGGATGCCTCTTTGGCCTCAACAAACTACAGCTAACTGGTATAACACTGAATGCTGATGAGGACTCACTGCCTTACACAAGGTCTTTTCTCCTCAGTGGACGATGTGCCACCATGCTAATTGTCAGAGAAAAGTACTTTCACTGTTTCTAGACCAAGTTGAAATCAGTTAGAGTATTTAGCCTAGTTAGCAATAAAGCTAAGCTACATCTGCCTTTTTAATTACATTTTTAACAATGCAGCCTTGGAAACGTATTCATGCTCAGGCACCCTCGCTTCAGAGTGGCACATGGTAATGTACATACCCATAATTGCAAGCAAAACCATAAGAGTTTACAGACATACTTAAACATAAAAGCAGGGATTTACTGAATTGTTAGTCTGCTTCTTTTCTTCATCTTTCTGTGCTAAAACAGAATGAATACCCAGACAGTGATTTCAGTATTCAAATACTGGCACTTCAAATGGTTAATCATGTACTAATGCACATCCCTGCCTTACATTTGGTATCCCAAGTTCACCCAGGATAAATATACAATATTGCTGTTCTCAGAACCAAACCTCGCATCTCCAAAATGGTAACTTTACAGGAGAAGGAAAGAAACTACATTACTTTCAATGTAAGTCAATGGAATCAGATGTTTTTCCAAGTAAGTTTGGGCCATTTATTTTGGTCCATTCATCATGAAATTTACATACAATGTAAAGGGCGACAGGCTATCTTAAAATTATGCCAAAAACTGAAAAACGACAAAAATGAAGATACGATATTTTGTTCCGACAGCATGGGTTAAAATGTGCAGTTGTGATTTCAGACATTACAATATTTTGCTATTCTGTGAAACTAGCATCTCAAATAAAAAACTGCCATGAACCAGATGACCTGAATATGGCGATGGGAAAGAGGCAGATATGGAGAAACAAGAGCATGACTGACCTTCTGAGCCACTGCAGAGAATTTGAGGACATTCAGAGTTTCATCGAACATAGAAGCACACTGGTTGATGTTGACAATCATGCAAGCTTTTCCACGGCCACAGAAAAAGCCTTGCAAGTAATGAGTCAGTTTGCTTTCTCTGAAAGGAATATGCTGTTGGAACCTAATAAAAAAAAGGAGTACAAGTACAACTCAAATAATGTTTTCAAGAACAAGGTCAAGAAGGTCAACAAGGCCTTGAAACAAGACAAGACACAAAACATGGATACATTTGGGCCCATTCAGTTCGCTAAATTAACAGATTTGTCAAAAACTCACTTCGACTGTGTCTGATTCAGTCTCAATGCATTGATGCATTTCCCCAGAGTTAAAAGAGATGTGTTGATATTGCCAGCTTCTTTTAAGCGGTCTCCTCTGTTCTGGGTTTTGGCGCATCGTTCTGATCCTGCCAGATCACACAAAGACAACCTGGAGCAACAAAAAGATTTAATTAATAACAGTTCTAGGTCACCAAAGGCCAAGGGACTTCTACATTGCATGGTTTTACGTTTTCCTTTTTTAAGAAACCTGAAAAAGTTTATAATAGTGTTATAATTAGCTGGTGCAATCTGATTATGGCTGAGATATGCACACAATAGTTGCAGTGCAATTGCAATAAACATCATATTATGATAAATACATGTTGGAGAATGAAAAAGGTGTTCTGGGTAAAGATCAACTGCACAATCTGAACCAAAATAATTTACTTTTGCTGCTGTACATGATCGCCTTGCGTAATAAACACCCATGGAATCTGGTACTGTTTGTTCTCTTGTTAGAGATATCAGTATTTTAAAGGCCAATGTCCTGAAACAATTAAAGGGCCTATATAACAGAAAAAAAATCATTTTCTTGACTTTAAATAAAAAGGTTTCATGTAGTTTGTACATATGGCTGATGGTCTGAAACATATTCCCCAGTATATAAGTGACATATTTGAAAACTAACCTGCAAAAACAGTCCGTTTTGAATTCACAGTTTGTCATGAAATTCAATGCATTTACATCTTTCCACCAATTTAGCACGCCGTTTAGCCGCACCCATTTACATTGAAAATATAAAGTGTTTACACCCAGACTGCTTTTTGAGTGAGGTACAATACAGACAGCGAATCAGAACAGAGCTCATTTAAATACCAGTCTTAAAAGACACAGTAACAAAAACAGCCAGTTTAATTGTAAACGATAAAGAAGAAACTGACACCCAGAAAAACCCAGCCAAACATCATAAGTGTGAAAAAATAAAGTAGAAGATAAATGTAGAATGTGGATGGGTGCTTAAAGAACACACTTTGCAGCTCTAATTGTCACCAAATGAATAAATAAAGTAACAGTCAGATGAGGGAACAAATGATGTTTTCTGGCAAGGAAACAGCATAGTGTGCAGTGTAGTTTTCCCAGTAGACTGTGATTTAAAGCCACTAGACAAAAACAAACAACCAACCAACCAACAACAAAAACAATAGAAGATTCTCACTCGCTTATTGTCTGGACCCGAGGAACACCCATATCTTCAATTCGCAGGATTCGGATGGAGAAAACACTATGGCTGAAAACAAAACAGGTTTGAGTTATATTTTAGTCAATCTCCAAATACACAGATGGATATTTTTCTTAAAGCTGAAAACATCAACTTTATAAGAACTTAATTTAAAAAGATGTACCTTCTGCTGGATACACTGTTGAGCTTTGTAGACGAAAAGCTCTGATTTTTCCGTCCAATCTTCAAAACTTTATAAGCTTCATCTGCACTGTGTACGTGCACCCATGTGAGATCTGTAAAAAATATTTTAAAATGGTGTTCATACTAAATTCAGTAAATGAAAATAATATTTTTTTATGATTTTTTGTGTGCAGCTTTGCCTTTTTCTGATTATACAATAGACCATTATGGAGCTGGTAAGCAAATGCTCTTCAAAAGGGAGTCTTGTATTATGTACAGAAAACAGCAGAAGCAAACTAACTACAAAAAGCATCTGGTTACCTTTAACAAAGGTGTTGCCTTTCACATCTTGGCACAGGCGCAGAACATTCCTTCTCTGGGAACTGTTTGAAGCAAAGTCCAGCAGATCGTGGATGTTTTCATTGTAGATCTCACAGAAGGAAACCCACACTGAGAACTTGACATGAGAGTCCTCCTCCAAACAAACACTATCTCCTTCCAAATCACTACAGCTAGAGCCTAAAGCAGAAGGGAACAATTCTAATCAGCATCTACTACTGTCTCTTATAAAATAGAAAAAAAGAAAACTAAGAAGCCAAAAACAAAACTATAACTACATAAACACAAGTTTAGATGATACTTGCCCTCAAGTAATGTGCTACAAGCAGAGTGTGAGATGCTGGAGGTGCTTTTCTGTAAATCACTCTAAAGGAAGAAAAGGGTGGACAAGCGTGTTAAGACCTTAAAATGATTTATAATGAAAGTGCAGGAAGAAAATACACTGGTGTGTAAAAATGCAAATGTGAAAGTGCAGATTAATCAACAACATAAATTTCAGAATGCTAAAGTGATTCATTAGCAATTATAGTAATATACAACAATGCATACACTAATTTTAAAAATACTGGGCTACATTCAGGCACAAAATACAACTGTTTTATTGTTTGTATTCAACTGCTGTGTAAATGGTTCCAATAGTCACACTGGATTATACCAAAATAATGGAATTGAATAGATGATATTATGATTAGGGATGCACTAAGTTTTTTCATCTTCAACTTTTGATTTCTGGCTTAAAGAGAAAAATGCATAAAATTTTGACTCCCCCCCAAAAAACGAATAGCTTAATAATAATTAAATAATCTTAACGATAAAGAAAATTATAGTAAATAAACGCACTGTTTGTTTCCTTTGTTTTCCAGTGACAGGTGCGTTCAAACAGTTTGAGCAGCAGCAGATCAACAGTGAAAATGCTGGCTATGTGAAACTATTTCACAATTTCAATGAGGAAAATTAGATAATTGATTTATAATCACTGTTCAAGAATATCAAGAGAAAGTTTCTCCATTAAAGGTTATAAACCACTTGAAAACATTACTACCACCCCACTCGCATGTTAATGCCATCTGTAGCCTAAGCAAAATAATGGAATTCACTGCCTTGGATGACCAGCCATTCACTGTTATTGAGGACATTGGATTTCACGGCACATACTGTAGACCATATAATCACTTATAATAATTCCATAAACATTTACACAAATAATAATTGTAAATAAATAATTGCAGTTTACATGTATTGTAATACTCAGCCCAGTGTGTCCCGAACTTCAGTTTCAGACAGAATTTTTGTTTTCGGTACTTGACTAATTCAAATCTTGTATATAAAAACCTACAAAAACTTTTCTTGTACTGTACCTCTTTAAATCTTCTTAGTATGTTTTTCTTAATTGTTGCCTCCTCGTCCTGCTGATCTTTAGTCAGTCTTGTGAAGTCTATGCAGCGATGGGGCTTGATGTTATTTTGAGTATAGATTCGTCCCTCAATACTGTTAAAGATCACATTCAGTGACCTTGGCAGAATTCCCACATCACTTTCAGGACCTTAAAAATGAGAAAAAAATAAATAAATAATGCAACTTCACTGCTGAGGAACTCTGTGATGCTCATGAAAATGTAGGCTTGAAAGAAAACCTCACCTAAAAATGTAAATGTCTTTCCGGCGTTGGTAACTCCATAAGTGAAAATCAGGGAATTTTCTCCCCCCAGTACATCTTTCACAAGGGCTTTTGTTGTTCCATCAAATATCTGTCTTTGTGATGTTTCTGGACCATACACCTGCAAAATTAATGTATTATTAACATAACACAAACAACATACATTCTGAAACATGTTCACAACGAGACTGTTCACAACTGGTTTTAATGCTACAGAGTAACTGACAATGGCTAGTCTTATACCTTTGAAAACTGGAATCGCTGTGCAACTTGGGGCCCCAGTTTTTCACTTTGCCTGGCTGTTAGTGACGTTCTTGGGGCCTTTAGAACCACAGTGTCTGGGGACTCGATTGAAATGCAATCCTGTTTAGGGAGCATGGCATTAAAACAAGTTTATTACATATCTGAACATCTGATTTAAGAGACTGTAAAGTGCAATGAACTGTGTTCACACCTGCGATTCACCAAAATCACTCTCTGTGGAGGTAAATGGTCGTATCCTGAGGTAGACCTGCAAGTGCTCCTTGTCCAGTACCACAGATCCCTACAGGCAAAGCAAAGCCAAGCTCAGTTTGATGCACTCAGCACAAAGACAATTTCAAAAAAAACAAAGAACAAAATAACTTTAAAACACTGTTTAATGCTTAAACATGCCATCAGCACTGTATCTGTAGTGTTATAACCCAAAAGCTTCTAGCAAAAAATAAAACATGAGCATTGCCTTGGACATGACATGTTAACCCTTACAAAAAGAACTGTAGATCCTCTAAAAAATTCAATAGAGCTGTATACTGTTTTTATAGTAATTTACATGTTTGTTCCTGTATTATATTCCTATGGTATTGTCTTATAGCAATGTAATCAACAACACTTGGTAATCCTCATGGTCACATTTTAGGTAGGCAGTTACAATACTGTAGCATGTTATGGTAATTTACTTTAATATTCTTACAAGGATCTTGTAAAAAAATCTGTAATATTACTAGCTATTGATCTTCATATGGGATGAAACTGTGAGCCAAGCAATTTTACCTGAGATGCGGGTATTTTGGAGAATTCGACAAAGAGATCTTTTCTTAAATCTTCTACAATAACAGATCCTACTCTCTCTGGTTTGTAATTCAAGCTGAACTCCATGGCTCTGAGAAAAAAAGGAAAAGACTGTAGGCAACAACAATACGCTACATTAACTAGCGAGATCGGTTACAACCTAGTTACAACGTAGCACTAACCTTGCAACTAATAGCTAGTAACAACCGACCAGTACTTGAAGTAAAGCAAAGTTACAAATCTTCTTGACTGCTAGTAATCCCTTTCTATCGCAGAGAGACTTTGGCCATAGTTCAACTAGCACAGCGTGCTGTTATATTAACATTATACCCGTCAAAACAGAGGAGATGGAAGGAGGGTTCAGCGAGCAGCAGCTAACTAGCTAATGTTACGCGTTGCAAAACTGAGCTCAGTCAATCCGGACTGAGTTACGTTAACGGTCACCTCCGCCCCACGCTGAGAAAAACAAACAATTATCCGCGAGTAAAAAAACAGCGATAGCACCACTTTCTTTGAAATCGGTTACTTTGTTCGCCTATTATGTTCGTATTTTATCCGCAGTTACCGCCGCTAACTAACCAAAAACACCCTTCAGCTTTTGTATTCACATCTGCCGCGGTCTTCTGTTTAAATTGCACCAATCGGATTGTTCCCAACGAGCCGAAATGATTGCCGGGAGCGGAAGTCGTGATAGTGTAGTTTTCGCTAGTTCGACTTCAAGGAATTGACGTCATGTATGAACTACATATCCCAAGAACAGCTGTCAAGAGCGTAAACCCATGTGTTTACACGGTGCCCATGCCTCGGAAAACGGTACTGCTAGCTAGCTGTGCGTTAGCTTGTTTCTATAAAGTTGCAGTAACACAAATTAGTGTTTTTACAGCAACACACGAGGCTCTTAACGTTAAATGAGAGAAAACATTTGGCGTTTATGAACAGATAACTTTGATTCTGATTTTCAAATAAGAAAATTTAACATTGAGTTGTATGTTTTCGGCAAAAAATAGATAGTAAAAATGTCTGTGTTTATGGATTTAAACATCATCGCCATTGCTGACAAGGCAAAGCTGCAGAGCACAATAGAGACAGCTGCTCACCGTAAGTTTAACTTTTAGCCAGTTGGTGTGCTAGCAAGTTACATGTTGCCAAACGTCAGGTCTTCTTGAATACAGTTACCTTCTGTTGGGTAGTCTTGTAGTTTAGATAACTACATGGCTATGTGAGAAGTCCAGAACCATGATATGCATCTGTACTGTCCAAGGCTCTTCTCTTCTTTATAACTTACGATATTAACATTTTATTCATTATTACATCTGTTGTAAATATGCCTACTCATCTTATACAGTAGGGCCACAACAGCCTTGAAAGTGAGATATTTTTTTTTCATTTAAAGACGAGGAAGAGAAACTTTAGAAAAACTACAAGCACTTTGGGGTGGATACGTGATGATTAGCCTTTACTTCAGTGGTAAATAACCCTGGTCCTGGAGATCTAACTAGTTACCTTGCTGAAGAGTTTAGCTCCCACCCTAATCAGCCCTGGCTGATCCATTTAATTATTGCATTTAGGAGTCCTTAATGAACTGAGTGAGGAGTTTCACAGGCGGGTGAAAGTAAAACCTGCAGGAAGGTACTTTTCCAGGAAGAGGGTTGGTGATTGTTGCCCTACATCAGTGGTCTTGAGCCCTAGTCCTGGAAAGCCGCCTTCCTGCAGAGTTTATTTCCAACCTGTATGCAACAAGCTACCCCACCCCTTACTTACCACTTACTGTCTGATCCAGCCAATCAGGGATTTCATGTTAAAAGTATTATTTGTTTTTCTTTTCAATAAAATTGAGAAGTTAAACCAAAAAGTAGAAACAAAAGGGCAGTCAACAAAAAGATGAGGAATGGATTCACATTGCACTTGACAGAAGATGCAGCTAAAATTATTGTTTTGGAATTTTGCTATTATCTCACTTGTAGGGAAATATTGTGAAAATATTGTGATCTTCAAATGTACTTCTCTAGCTTTATTGGAAATGTAGAATTTATAGGGTAGAAGCCATGCTTTTCTCCAAGTAATATCTGTGATTAATGCATTGCAAAAGACTTTTCCTCTGGGGGTGATACATTTGTGAGTGAAATACATTGGTTAGCAATTTAGGTAGCTACATTTTGGGTCATGAATGCTAAGACTTTCCACAAAAAACTTGTACTCATCCCTCACAACAACTTTTACAACTGAGTCTTTATAAGCTGAATAAACCCATTTGGAACTGCTGTTATAACAGAATTAAATTCCTTATGGCCCAACAGGAAAGCTGTGTTTAGTCAAAGTTAAAGTAAGAATATAAGTGTCCATTTTTCGTCAAACAGATCAGACAAATAATCTATGCCGTTATTGTGCCAGTTCTCAAGGAAAAGTGATGTGTTTTTAATCAGGACTAATTCATTTAATTAATTCATTCAATTCTGTCCCAAAAAATGCATAAAAGTTTATTTTTTAAACATCATATGTAATTTCATTTTCTTTCAGTTGGCTACTCCACAGTTGCAATAAATTATGTGGTGGAAGGGCAACAGAAGAAACAGGTAATCCGTTGTGATTAAGCTTTGTCTATAGAAATGCTGTGCATGTGTTTGAAATTTGAATCAGAATCAGAATACTTTATTGATCCCAGAGGGAAATTGCAGTTGTTACAATTGTAACCATTAATGTAAAAGAATAAACACTCTAATAATTTTAAAAAAAATTATTTGAAACAAGAGAGAAATTTGCAGTATGTACATATTGGCGAAATAACTTTGTGCTTATGTCTTGATGTGGATTACAGCAAATTCCTAAGCCGCAACCAGTGGCAGAGCTCTTTGAGAAATTCCCAATTGTACAGGTGACTTGCTTTATTTGTGGTCATTGAACTTTTATATGAAACTTTTTGTCCATAAGCAGTCTGAGTCTTCTAATCCATGTTTTCTCTCACATAGGGTAAATCCAGGCCTATTAAAGTGTTGAACCGTTTGACAGTGGTAGCCACAGATGCTTCTCACTTTGTAAGTCTTAATAAAATGTCAGCTGGTAATGTTGTTATGAGCTGGAATTACTAATAATAATTGGAACATATTCTTGTGTGGTATTCACTTTAGAGGTTGGCCAATGCGTACAAAGACTTTGACATTTTGGCTGTGTTTCCCAAAACAGAGAAGCTGTTCCATGTAAGTCAAACAGTTTCTATAAATATATAGATAAATATTTATTGTTCTTTCTAAATGTTTCTCCTCAATGTTTCAAGCCCTCTAATAATCTGCAGCCATATTAAGAAATTTAATCCTTATATATTACATCGTGTTTCATTGCAACAGGCAGCCTGCATGACCTATGATGTGGACATCATCTGCATAGCTGCGACTGAAAAGCAGCCTTTCCACTGCAAAAGATCTCCAATCAATGGGGTTAGTTCACATTGACAGTATTCATGAGTCACTGTTGCATAGTGATTACACTGTGATACACTTACTACACTTAGCCTCTGAGCAGACAGTAATTTATCAAATAGAGTAAGTCTATCGCGATTTGTTGCTAAAACTTGATTTCTCAGTTAAAAAAAAATCATTTTCACGGTGAATCGGCAGTGATTTGGCAGTTGAGTTAAGTCACTTGAAATTTTTAAACCTAGAACTCACCAGTATGATACTTTTTTCAACTTTTTTGTAATAGGCAAGACACTTAAGAAATAATTATTATTTATTATTAATAATAATTCCATATTGTCCTTATGTTCTTCTTGGCGCTCCACATGAATAACTTCACTTAGATGCTATAGTTAAAAAAACAAAGAAATGAAAAAGTGGAAAACAAAAAATACATCTCAGATCTCCTGTTGTGAGGTGTAGTGTGTATCAGTATCACTGAATTGATGATGACCTAACTCAGGGGTTGGCAACATGCAGCTCCGCAGCCACACATGCTTCTTTTACTGTCCTGTTACGGCTCCACAGCAGAATTAGATTTTTGGGTAAAAATAAAATAATCCTCCTTTGCAGTAAAATAAAGCTCTGCTGATCGTTCTAATACAGTTTTAACAATAAACTGTCTTAAACGCACCTTTTAACCCTGAAGATCAGCATGCAAACTACTGGTTACATAGCAACACAAACAACAGTCTTGCCTAGCTAGTAGTTAACGAAAAGGAAAAAATTAATGAAAAAGAAAATTAAGATGAGCATAAATAATTTGGTTAAAAATGGACTTATTTGCATTTATAATCACTCCAGCTGGTTTCCTGATACGTTTAATCTGCAGCGAGAAACTGTCAAATATGAAAACATCATGAAGCTAAAGTCAGCTTCTCATACTAATTATCCTGTTCCTCCTTAAATGGTGCAGCAGTTACGTTTTGGTGCCTTGGGCACCGTTGAAGGTGGAACGGGAAAATTCGAACAAGAAGCTGGTGAATGAGAAGCGACTTCAGCCTCGTAAAAAGTCGAACATTGAAAGACGTTTTACAAGAAATTATTAGACTTTTCCTGGTGGATATGCGAGAAATGTCGCTATAGCTGAGCTAAAGCTTAAAGCAGAGCAAAGTAAGTCTGCGTTTGTGTTTATATTATATTTTTAGCCTGAGCTAGGACATTAGCACATACTGAGACATATTTACAGCCAAGATGGTAAAATGGACATAAAATGTTGTGGCTCCCAAGGTGGTTTGATTTTTTTGTTGACAGGACAAAATGGCTCTTCTTTACATTTGGGTTGCGACCCCTGACATAACTGAGGAGTTTAATAAATGCTTATTCACTAAATATAGTCACTCAATGACAGACAAAATACCTCTTCAGTCAGTTAGCCTATCTAAACCAGTAAGTTTAAACAGTCAAAAAAAACTGTATTCATTGTTGATGATAAACTTGGTTACTGCTCTGCAACATTTATCCAACTGACATCCTTGACTTTTTGCTATAATAAAAGATGAAGGATGACCAGAAAAATAACTTGGGAATAACTGGCCCCAGCATGGTCAAAGCTCTCACCTGTAATCATAGTTGGTTGGGCTCATTTATGAACCCCTTAGAGAACGATTTTCTATGTGAGCATAGTTCAGTCAAACAGTGGACGGCAGCCAAGAAATAAATGAGAGTATTGATACAACATTGACAAACGTCATAGTAGTTAAGTTTCTCTTACAAAAGTCAGAAAACTGCTCAGAAAACTGGATCAAATGTTTAATCACATGTAACATATTACTTGACTTGGCAACTACTAATGGAAGCATTTACTACACAAGTAACTATTCTCATCTAAACTAAAATTGCTTTTATGAAATACCGCTAGACCATGGACCTCTGCCACTGTGCATTATAGTTGTGCTGTAGTGCTGTCTCTTTTAACTCTATTCTCTTTTCTTTTATCTTCTTCTTTATTACATTGTTCTATATTAACTGTAACTTTTATCCAAAGTATCAAAAATAAGTACAGATTTTTTTCAGATATTTAGCCTTAATACAGGTCTACAACAGTTGTCCTACTGTTCTCTCTTACAGTAGAGAAGGAGAGTGTGATGGATATTCTCATTTATCAGTGGCCTTAAAAATACTGTATAACCTGTCAATGTAATTGTTAGATGAGAACTTGATTACTAATTAAATCAATAGTGGCAGATCTAAAGAAAACCTAGAGAACATCACCCCTATTTCCCTCATTGTGATTGTGTGTTTGTCCATATTCGTTCTGTAAGGCTATTGAGAGGGGAGTGCACTTTGAGATAAGCTACACAGCAGCCATCAGAGACTCCACCATGAAGAAATACACCATCGCAAATGCCATCAATTTGATGTCCGTATGCAAGGGCAAGGTAAGTTGTGCTGCACTCTTTGCTAACACAGATACGCACATATCATGCTCATAATGTCTGATATGTTGAAGTAACTGTGTTTTCCCAACTTTTTAGAATGTGATTGTGGCCAGTGGAGCAGAGGCAGTAAGAGAACATGCTTTTCTTTTTTCTCTTTAATACTTGCCGTGAGGAATTGGCCTAGTATGTAGTCATTTATTCCTTGATATTCTTCTTGCTTTCTTATTTAGCCCCTGGAATTGCGTGGCCCATACGACATTGCCAATCTGTATCCTTTATTGTTTGGGGTTGTCAAGGAGTTGTACTGTGTTTGAAGGCTTGTATGAGTTGGAATGATCCTTAATGCAGAGTCTAGGGGGCTAGTGTTTGGCCTCTCGGAGGGGGACGCTAAAGCTGCTGTCTCAACTAACTGCCGATCGGTCGTACTGCATGGAGGTAAATTACATATATACTCTTTAGCTTTCATTATCACTGTGTTGCAAAAATAACCGATTTACCTTGTTGTGAAGTTTCTGTTCATGCTTATGTTGCTGATTAATCAAGTACGCTGGATTGGTTTTATACTTATTAAATTGATAGAAAGTATCTTGTTACTCTTGGTGATGTTGTTTCTAAGTAGTATTTAGTAGTATTTTTTTATGGTGTTCCACAGGGGTCCATTCTTAGTCCACTTCTTTTGTTTATTTTATTCCTTTTGTTTATTTTATGTTATTTGTTTTTATGTTACCAAAATGTGGTTGCTTTTATTTTATTGGGTGCTTTCTGTATTTTATTATAATCTCTTTAGAGCAGTTTGAGCAGCATTCTATGTATGAAAGGTGCTGTACAAAAAAAGTCTATTTATTATTAAATGTTATCAGACACGGTTTTAAATTCTGTCTTATTTCAGCTGAAATCTCAAGATAATACCTGCAGTTTATAAACCTTTTTGTTTCTTTTATATTGTAGAAACCCGGGCAACAGCGTTAGGTATCATTCACACCATGAAGAGACCCCAGCCGCCCAGTGAGCAGCCAGAAGAAGAAACTCCAGCTGCCAAAAAGGCCAAAACTGAAACAGATTAGTTCAGACACGAAGTAGGAGCAGGTTTTTTTTTTTTTTATTCACATTGTTCAACTAGTCAACTTTTTTTCTTTTTTTATGCATATCTTAAAGCTCCAGAACCTGATTTTCTGTATTTTTTTAACTTATTGGTATAAAACATAAAACATCAAAGTACCAGTTAAAAGGGTATCAAACAAAACAGAATATTGAAAATAATGTTTATTCAGAAAAAATAACAAGCAACAATGAGATTATTTGAAAACAAGAAACAAATAAAAACAAGAAACAATGCAAGTCTCCTTAAGTGCATTCAGCATGTCAGTAAATACAGATTAGCGTTGAAAAATGTATCAGATACACTGACATTATCAAACATAGCACACAACTTGAGGCCAAGTTCTGGTTCTTCAAGAAATGTACTTCTAAATGTCAGCATGTAGTCGCATGCTGCCAAAAAAATAAATAAATAAATATAGTAACTGAACCTCAAACAGTAATTGCCACATTTCTTTTTGGCTTTTTTCCTTATAACCTTCTCAATCTGCCACTAAGCATGAGTCAATTCATGAGTCACTTCACTTTGCCTTGCTTTCCAAAGCCTTCCGAAATGCTTCATACTTTCTCATTTTCATATTAAAACAAGTAACTGTACAGTTCCAGAGTATGTTTAGCATCACAACACATATATTTTTGTTTTACTTCACATTGCACAGATGTTGCTGTGCACAATTAAATGTTTTCATTCCTTTTTTCCATTTACTTGGCTTGAGACTTGTCATTAAAGTTGTCAAGAATGGTTTTAGCTCCACTCTGCCACTCCAAAACACTGTCCATGGGTGATTTCCCCTCCTGTAGAAAACAAGTTTTATGTCAGTTTAAGAAAAGCATGTATGTCTGCAGCAGCTTCGTCACCAAATCCCTAAATCACTGCCATATAATACAAAATGCTATAATGTGTAATCATTGTATTGAAACAGGTCTGATATATGAGTGAATTCCCGTCATGCTATTCACTTGGGTTGAGCACTATTCGCTTGGTCAACCTAAGGAGTGTGTTCCTCAAAATGTCAGTAGATGGCACTGTGCACATTCTAAACAATCCTTGAAGACTGAGGGTGAGGATAGAGCACATGGGCTTGAGACCAGTTTTGCATTATTTTCTACTCTAGTATTAGAATTGATCCAATTGTACAAATATACAGGAGAAAATTGAGCTGGGCTTCAGCACACAGAATGAGCTTATTCCTGGGCAAAAAAGATTTACAGTTGGGAATGTTCAGTGAAATGTAAGTCAAGATTAACCATAATTTTCTGGCTGTCTGGGGAAAAGCATTAAATACACTTACCCAATTCTTCACTTTCAGATTGGCTCCATGCATCAGGAGTAACTGGATGAATTTGAATCTGTTCAGTCGGACAGCATCGTGCATTGGTGTGTCTCCCTCCTGAATGGAGAAAAAGATTTAATATGTTTCGCGTTTTGGCTTTTATTGTGTCTTTGCAGAAATGGTGATAAGGGCACAATATATGGCTCACTCTGTCCTTTGCGTTGACATCTGCTCCGCAGTGTATGAGGCGTTCAGCACATTCATAGTGGCCTGTCCTCACTGCCACATGCAGGGGAGTGCTCTGGAGCTGAAATGCAGTGAGTTTAAGAAATATATCAGTGTTTCATCTGAGGGAAAAGATGGCAGTTAATTATGTGACATTAGAAGATTTTTTTGACCGCATAATGGGCCAGCCTACAAGAGTTGCTGACCTCATTTACACCTGGCTGTTTCATGTGACTTGTTTTAACCACATGCATTAAGGCTATGTATACATTTGCATGCTTTTTTTCTTGTGACACAGAACTGTTGTTAGAGCTGCGTGGACACACAAATCTGATCTTTTTAAATCAGATATGAGCCACTTTCATACATTGTCCCGGATCAGATAAATATCCAATTTATGGCCACGTGACCTTAATGAGAACGGTCAGAGGATGATGTGTGCAAAAATCGGAAATGAGAATCGGAGCTTAAATCGGAACTTAAACTCAGATTCAATGTGCTTTTGCTATTCCCAGTGCCACACAGAAATAGTTAAGTGTCACATATGAAAAAAAGGTCAGATTTTGCCAACTTTTACCTGCAGTGTGAACATAGCCTACTCAGCTTACTTGTATAAGGCACTTAATATGCAAATCGGCACATATACAACAACCAATTGCCATTGTTGTTATCCTAGTCTATTAAAAAGGTTGCCAGTTATCGCCTCAAAAATCAAGCTTTTTCATGACACACACTACCACCTGTTTAGAATAATTAGCCCCCTGTTTTAGTTTTTGCTGTCATAGTCCACATGCTTTAAAACATAATTAATGCATCAAGTGAAAGTAGAGGAGGCAAAGTAAAGTTGAAGAGTGGTTGCAGGCTAGTAGGTGTTTTTTTTAGCCATATGTAAAACAGCAGGGGGAGGCACTGCCACAATATGGGAGAGGTTTTGGTTGTTCAATGTGGCTGCAAGAGACATATTCATTTACATTTGTGTGACATCTGGCTAAAATGTGTGTCAGACCACCTCCATAATTAGGAGCCCAACAAGAGTTCTGAGCGGTTAGGTATGAAATGACCAGGTATTAACGGGTCACTGATCCTTATAAACAGTAGGTGGCAGTATACACTTCATTAAATGAAGCAATGAAGCAGCTGGGGATTGGTGATACAACTAATTTTCCTTTCCATGCGATACCGAAACTAAAATCCCAATACCAATACTTTTAAAATGAGGAATTGTTCTTGATTTCTACAGTAAAAACTAGTCAAAAGTACACATTAAAAATATTATTTGAAGGGCTTTGTATTAAACAAATTCACATAAATTGTCAAATTGTCTGTTTGTATCTATGTATCTACCTATCTACACACACACACACACACATACATAAGTAGGTATCCAGGGGACACTGCAGGTGGGTAGGTGTCTGCATCCTGCACATTATACTGCACATAATATGTGGCAGTCCAATAAAACTAGGCTTTCTTTATCTTCTTACCTTGTCTCTGGCACCGAGGTTGCTGTTGTGGTTCAGGAGCAGCTCTAGCACAGGCAGGCTTCCTCCACGGCAGGCCCAATGAACAGCAGTTGCGTCAAGCTGGATAGAAATAAAAATTATGTAGCAAAGCTGGATAGAAATACATTTACTTGCCACTGCATTAGATACACATTGTTGTTACACTTTAGACATACAATTAAAAGACTAGCTCATGTTTTTCTGTTCATAATTCATCCTCTCGCCCTTCATCAGTGGTCAGTTTAGGACCACTGTTGGGTGGTTATTCATGGTAATCAACCCAGCAGTGACACAGGTGCCTTTCACAGTGATGTCAGCGCAACCGAAAGTAACATGCCACTATTATATTGGTGTCCCTGTTGTGGTGTGAATGGTCCACTGCCAAAATAATATCTGATCACCAGCGGTTCTGTGGTGGTCCCTTTCCATTGATGGACAGAGTGGAGGGGGGCTTCTAATTTGTGAAGTAAGAAATGCACTACAGTCAATAACTGTAAATCTACATAGTGCACCATATGATAGCTGCTTCCGATAAAATGCTTGATGTATGACAATGTAGCAGTGCTGGATTCAAATATATTAATGAGGTAAAAATGCAGGAGAAAGGATGCTATGAAAGGAGGCACATTTGCGTGTGCTCTCTGGAGAAGTGATTTACCCATCAACACCTGAGCTGCTATCACACCAAGTAACAGAGTGAAAATGGCAGGCCTTGAATAGCAATGTGCAAGGCATCTGCATGTTTGTACTCCGTTGATATGCTTTTTGGAAGCATGTAAGAGGGAAAATTTTGTGAGGTTAATATCAGTGGGGACCCTTCAGGGCCTTCTAGGTTTTCAGAAAAGGGCTAATGATTTCTAGGACCCAAAAATGCATGTCTAATTTACTTTGGTTCATTTAGAATCTTAATGCTTGTATTCAAACTATACCTAGCATTCTAGTAAAAGTCTTCTTTCTTTGTAAAGTTTTGGTTGGAGACAAAAAAGGTTAAATTCTTGAAACATCCAACAGAAACCTGTCCAATCGGGATTATATTTGCCTTTGTGGATGCTAGATAGATACAGCCAAGCAAGCTCTCCCATTGGTTAGGCCTTCAGGAGCTGTACAGGAGGCCTTACACATTTGATTAAGTATGGACATAAGTAGGAAGTGACAAAGGTATCAGTCAATCACGTTTCAGGTACTCTAGGCCCTCTAGAAGTCCTACATATGCCGCTGTCTACGAATATGTGCAGGGATGTGGGAAGTGAGGGTGCGTTAGCACCCCCAGATTTCAGAGTTGGCTAACTGCAACTGCTAAAATTTATAAAGATCTGATTTCAAAACTAATTTGATTATAGTTAAGACCTACATCTGCTTGTTTTATTTGAAGTTTGTATTTTTGTGTGTAGCGTTCTGCTACTGGCTGGCGCTGGCACTGGCGCCTGAGACTCTGGAGGTGAGGCTAGGCAGACGCAAAGGCTCATGGTAGCATGAGCCTTCCAGCAAAGGACTATTTATGTTGTTTATTCTTGTTGTCTGATAGTTATAGTTACGCGAGTGTGTTACTTCTGTTATTTGGTGTTAGTGAAATGTGGGCTTTGGGTGGGGGAGGTGGTCGCTGCGGGATGAAGTGTGTGGCTAAAGGTGACTTCCCCCTTGAGTTAAGTCCGGGTTCTGCATTTCTTTCTGTTGGTATGTTCAATAAAGATCACTTGTTGTAGCAGCTCATAGTTTACTTCTGTTTTTACAGGGGCAATGGCAGAAATAAGCATGTAGTTGGTCATATAGGTGGGCTTGGGTTGATCAAGTTTTTACATTTATGGTCTAAACTGAAGCTGTTATTGTTGCCACAGGTTAATATGTGGAGGTGCGAAACAGGAATCATTTTGTGCAACCTGGTGGAACCAGTTCTAGTCAGAATCAACCCAATTCCATAGTAAATTTCTAGTGAATATAATAAATTCTGGCATTTTTAGGGATCTTAGAACAGCTGAAATCAAAGCCAAAACTCCAGTAGTGTTCAGATTTTCAATATTTTATCAGGTGTGGATTGTACCTTATCCTTGTTTTCAATTAAAGCCCCAGCTTCCAGCAGCCTCTTCACAATCTCCACATTGCCTCGTGAACAAGCTCTGTGTAGAGCTGTACGGTTGAACTAGAGAGAGGGAGAGAGCGATTATCAGCTCTGTGGGGATTTCAGAAGCTAGCTAAGCTGTTTGAATAACGAGAAGTGGTTTGCTTTAGTACTCACATTGTCACACGCATTTGGGTCTGCACCCCTGGCGAGATAGCTCTCAATCATCGGCAGTTTGTTGTCCACAGCCGCCTTCAGAAAGTCATCTTCATCAACAAAATCACACTGTGGAAAGAACCCACACATGAGAGCTTAACAAACTGAAAACAAATTATGCTATATATTCTAAGGCTATATTTAAGACTACATAGACAAAATAT